TGCAAACTCTACTTGAAAATGGAAAATGTGTGCCTTACACTAAGAAAGTTTAGCGAAATGGTTCCTAACTCCAGTAGTATGGCATGTAAATACTCCTACGACAGATTAAATGGCTTTGAAAGAAAATGCAGTTAAGTGCATCGATAGCTTAACATTTGCACCACATGCACCAGACCAGAAAGCATGCGCTGTCCAGACCTAAACACATCATCGCTTCGCACATCAAGTCAATTAAAGCCCATATTTGTCAAACAGGTGGCATCTTGCATCCTTTCTCAGGCAGTCAGCCGGAACGCTGGAACAAAAACTGCTGCTCCCATCTTCCTGAAATAGCAATAAAGGTGTGGGGTACAATTGTATATATTGTGCTTCTATTTTAGCATCACTAACAAATGGAAACTGGAAAGACAAGAGAAGCTGCATAACAAATCTAAACAGTCTTCTTATGAAACAGCCACACCCTGAAGCGCTCTCATCTGGAGGAGCCTCGCTCCAGCCTTCCTCAGTATCAGTCTCTGAAAACACTCTGGCATCCCTTTTTGTTATTGTCTGCACTGCAGTCCCACCCACATCCTTACACTAACCTTAACCAACTATCTCGCATGTTAACCTTTAAATTCCTGTTGGGATTTCTCACTGCTTCCTGCACTGCTGCGCCTGGTGCTTTGTGGTGTCTTGTGTTTTGATGCTTCCTTCCAAAAAGGAAGCGTTGGAATGAATATGATCCACAAAAATGGAGGGAATGGAAAGAGAGGAGGAGAGCAGTAAGTGGTGAAGAAGGGGGAGGAGGAGGGAAATTCCATGCTGACACTTCAGGATTGGGAGGACTTTCAGTGATTCTTAGAAAATACACATAATGAAGCCATCATGCAATTAACTGCATGGATAAAAAAAAAAGAAAAGCTGGATCTGGTGGAAGAATATTCAAGTCCTTTGTAAACAAACAGAAGTAACCTCACTGTTAGGCCTTCTTTAGTTCACACACATATGCTGTAGTCTAGAGTCTTGTTTACACACACACACACACACACACACACACACACTCATATCTTAACATCTTATTCAAATGAGGATGATCTTTAGCACCCCAGATACAGAAACAATAATGAAAGTGGATTTTACATAATCAAGGTCCGTTTGCAATATTGCGCAGCTAATTTACAGGGATGAGTTCCAAATTGTTTAAACCAATAGAATAGATTTCATCCAAGTTTATGATTACCTTTCATTGGCAGTGTTGTGTTTTTTGTGCACTGCAAAACAATCAAGTCAAACACACAGCAGTAAATCTTTTGTGCACCTGAGCCAGATACATGCAAGACTCTTTCTAAACAGATCTGAAGATTAAAAACGTGTGCAGAGCTGCTTTTTCTGTCACAAAGCAGGTATCGGGACCCTAATAATAGAATCAATAAGGCATCTGACCTTTAAACAGACTCTATAGTGGTGCTGGAATCCATAGAAACCCTAATCTACCATCTTACTTGGTGTTCAAAGAGCCTGCAAATGCAGTGATAATTCTTGTTAGACAACAATCTGAGTTATGAGACCTCCCTGTATGACACAAGCTTTATGACTCCAACATGATGTCACTACATAACAAGCATAAACTGGGGCACTGATTTACTGTGCAAAACTCCCAGGAAGGTCTCATTTCCCTTCAACTCATGCAGATCTTAAAACAAGCAGTTTCTTTGTTTCTGATGTCAACATGCAAAAAAATTAAAGGTTAAGATCAACATTCATCCACAACTTCTGCCTGGAAGTCATCCATTGCCAAGACTTGCATACAAACCAAATAACGCACCTACTGAATCCAGTAGGCTGGCTAAAAAGTGCCGTTGGTCATGTGTGAGTGTTTTCCACCTTCCATTAGTGCACACAGAACACAAAAAAACTCTTGTTAGATGGAAAAAAAAAAAAAATCCTTCCTCTTTTAATTTCTGTGCAAACAAATCTGAGCCAACAAGTGAAAAATTACAGAACTTCTGCAAAAGGCTGTGGCATATAAATCCACGAAGGTTACTTGCGATGAGTCACTTTGACTTTATCTTACACAAACCACTGTAAAAACCAAACGCAGTGCATAAAAGCAATGACCTTTGGCCACTGAAAGATCTTTGTTACTCGAGTATGTGTTTAAACTGTGCCATAATGTAGCTGTGAGGCGCATGCAAGGTTCAAAGAGGCTAAAATCAGCAGCTCTCTAAATATAATCGAGTATAATTGCCAACATCAGGTGTTACAGCCTACGAGTTTCCATCAGTTTCAAGAATTTAAAAGGAGGCACACACTCACTTGGTTTAGAAATGCGCCTTTTCATCAGAGAAGAAAATACACGTAGCTTCTTTTGTGCAGGGGAGAAAGTGTTAAAAACGCGTCAAGGACAGACTGTCAATCAAACACGGTCAACTTTCATAAGTGTCACACTTTCTAGCAGCTGCTCAAACGAACACACTACGATTAAGGTTGTTTATTGAAATGTCGCTGCTTGAGTGCCAAAGACGAGTCTGTGGCACACAGAAAGGAAACAGCCAGTCCAAACTCACGTCAGCTATAAATCGGATTGTGCCTTCTGAGATTTGAGAGGAACTTAAATTAACAGCTATTAAAAGAAATTTCAGTTCACGGTTTTCACTAAAGAAACGTGGAAAGTGATGACAGCAGCGCTCTGGGTTGGCGTTTGGAAAAGATTACGCGCGTCACGCACTGGCAAGAAATGCAGAAAAAATTAAAGGCTCGGATACTTTGCTTGGCAGCTGCGGAGCCGCTGATCTGACGCTCTTTCGTGACCACAGTGGAATTTTGTGGGTGTGGGGAAAGCATTTAGCAGGCCTTTACTCACTTTCCTGTCATTCACATCCTCCCCGACCGCTTCAATGACCCCGGAGCCCTCCATTCCCATCGTGACGGGCGGGGAAGGCAGAAGCTCGTACAGCCCCTGCCTGGCCAGCAGCTCGGCGAAGTTCAGCCCGCATGCCTTGACGCGCACCAGGACCTCTCCTGCCTTCAGCTTCGGCTTGGCCATCGTCTTCACCTGCAGCTTGACTTTGTCGTAGCCCCCATGTCCCGTGAGTACCAGAGCGCGGAAGGAGAGCGGCTTCTCCTCAGCGGCTGGTGCTGCTGCTGCAGCTGGTGGTTCTGCTGCAGCTGCTGGTGGTTCTGCTGCAGCTGCTGGTGGTGGTTCTGCTGCTGCTGGTTCTGCTGCTGCTGGTTCTGCTGCAGGGCTGCTGCTGCCTGACTCTTGCTGAGGTGCATCCGAAGCAGCTGAGGGAGGCTCGTCGGGCTTTTTCTCCTGCTCAGGCTGTTGCTGCTGAGTTGGATCCTCTTCACCAGACATGATAACCACTTTCTAAGTGCGCTTTTAAAGCTTTTCAGTTCGACAGTTGCGCCTGTTTGAGCGTTTCTTTCTAAACACTCCAAGAACGTTTAGTGCAAATTTTCTAGTATAAAAATGTGAAATAAGAGGGTGTTTCCTGCAGTGTCAAGTCCTCAGTAAGATGTGCGCGGTTTCCTGTGTATGCGCCTAGATCAACAAGTGCCCAGAGTCAAGAGCGGCGTATTTTATACAAGTTCCCAGAGTGATTTTCACAATAAAATACGGATGCCAATTTACCAAAACGTTTCTTTTCTTTCCTGTTCTTTCTGATTTTTGATGTGGCAGCAAAGTGAATTCACCAATCCCACACTTTAGATTAGTTTGTTTCAGGTTGTGCAGGTTAAAAAAAGAAGACAAATTATTGCACCCATGAAGACCTGATTTTAGAAAAGTCTAAATAAAACAACTTCATCAGGCAATGCATTTATGTCCAATATTTTTCAGGGGATGAAAATGCTGAACACGAAGATTTTTCGACTAAGTAACACAAAAATAAACAATTCATTTCTAATAATGTCCGCGTTTTCCTGCATGAGGACTTTAAACACACAAGCATAACAACATTGGATCTACACAACACTTTTTCGGGTACTCAGAGGCGTTAATAGACAAAACTGCTGCTCTTTGCATCCACTGAGCTCCACATTTAACCATTTTTATATTTCTTAACATAACCCAAAATTTGGCAGAAATAAGTATAAAAGCGATCTTTATAATCATGTTTCTGCAATGTGTCTAATTTCAAATGTGCTAAATATTCGCTGTGGACATGATCATGGGGTGTTTTTTTCTTTTCTTCTCTCTGGAGTTTATTTTTTATAGTCCATCATCAAAGTAACTTCCGGTTCACTTCTGCTTCCAGGTGGCTTACTTGACAGATCTTAAAACGTGACCGATATGTGTTGTCGGCAAAAAGCTCAGAGACGAGAGCCGTGGAGAGCCTCAAAGCCCGGACACTGGAGCCCTGGAAAGAGAAGTGGGATTATTAAGATCACATAATAGTCAGGAGTTAATAAATGTGAATAAATTATGTTCTCAAATATGAGTCAAATGTTTTTGCAATACAAATTACTTTTAAAATGATTATTTAGCGGAATTTGAAAGCTATAGGAACCAATATGCCCCGGAAGCTGGTAACATAGAATAAACATCATTCTAATGCATTTAAAGCCACAGCTCTCCCCTCCACACACACTTTGTGCACACTCACACACTCACACTCCTGTGGTTGGTACAGACAGGAAGTGGGGACATGGTGAGAAAGATAAGAGTTGCCTTTTAAAGGGGCAGAAAAGTCAAACCAAACACTTTGCATTATAGGTCTTGATGCATTCTCAATCATCCAGGAAAGTAAATCTCCAAAAGTTGATTCTGTTCATCTGGACGTAGCGTTTTGTGGGAGAAACGTTTCGTCACTCATCCAAGTGACTTCTTCAGTCTCAGCTGACTGCAGTTTTCCCCAATCTTAATCGTTTCTCCCACAAAACCCTACGTCCAGATGAACAGAATCAACTTTTGGAGACTTTGCATTATATATCTATATAGACATAAGGTAGGGTACAGTTTTCATACCATAGACATCCGGTAAAAAAAAATATGGGGCGACTGAGTCAGATTCATTTCACTCAGTGGGCCACATACATCCCAGTTTGATCTCCAGTGGGTCAGACAAATAAAAGGCATCAAGTTCAGGGACATGTTCTTGTTCAAGTATTTTTGAGCAACTTCTTAAGGCAATAGATGAAAACAGATGAGATGTCTTGAAGAAAGTGATTAAAATTACAACCCTTAATCTCACTGGGGATGCTGGGATTACAGTTTACAGATTAGGCATAAAACCCTCACATGTAGTTTCTTTAACAAAACAGTGAAAGTATTTTATCTCAACTTTATCTCAACGCCTCACTATTTACACTCCTGTGCACAAGGTTAATACTGGCATCAGCACGCTGTGTTATAGTGCATTTTGTGAAAAAGCAAAGTACTTAATGACTTCACTGCAGCTTTCACACTGGGTCTTTTCTAGCTGAGACCTCTGGCCTTGTACATAGCCTCACACCACACGACTGGTGCAAATATGATGTTAACTGAAAACACAAAGAACTGTGGTTGCTAACTTTGATGTGAGGGGAAGTAAGCACTCTCAGATGTTCTGTGCTTAGACTTCAGTTTTACACCCCCTCACTGCTTAAAAAGCTATTAACTACTATAGTTTAACTGCCTTTTCAGCTTTGCTGAAGCTAAAGTAATCAGCTAAAGTAATCAGTCTCTTCTCCATCTTCCAGCTGCTCCCTTTAGGGGTTGTCACAGCAGATTATTTGCATCCATCTCATCCTATCCGGAGCATCCTCCTCTGTCACACCAATCCTCTGCATGTCCTCTTTCACTAGATCCATGAATCTTCTCTGAGGTCTTTTTCTTTTCCTCCTGCCTGGGATCTCCTGGTCAACATGCTTTGTAAAGTATATCCACCATCTCTCCTCTGCAAATGTCCAAACCATCTCAGTTAACAGTTCACTGTTTTGTAGTGAATCCAAAACCCATCATGAGTACCTGCATAAAACAAGTCAGATCCCCATAATAACTTAATGTTTTCATCTTGATGCATGCTCAATCATCCAGGTAAGTAAATCTCCAAACGTTGATTCAACTTTTGGCGATTTAATGTTTTCTTTCTTTTCCCCGTTGTTCACCTATTGATCATGTTTACATGTCCATTTGATAATTTTTGTGAAGACAGACAAGTTAAAAGAAGAGCTGATGCATATCTTTTTCCTGAAATCGAAAATTAGGATGTTTCCTCGGCAGAGGACGCCCGCTTTAAGTGTCTTTTTACTCTCTTCACATTGTCTTTGAACAAAATAAACTTGTATCTGCTGAGACTATCAAACATACTGTTAATAAATTCAGAACATATGGTTTCCTTTTACATGTCACATTAAACTCTTGACGAGGCAACGTTTTTAGTTTTCCAAGGACAATTTGACAGTTTGCTTTCTTTCTGATGTTTTAGCAAAAGCAGGCAAGCGCACATTGGCTGTGGAATTTAGTAAAATACTGGAAAACAAGCTATTTTTTCTCTTTCTCTTCTCTCTTTTTTGACCAGAAGGTGGAGCTAACAGGCTGCAAATGTTCTTTAGAAGTTCTAATGCGCTGAAGCAGATCACACAGATCTTATCCCTGGTAACAAAGTTCAGAATGAAGCTGGCATCCTGTGTTTATATACAAAAGAGCAGATTAGTCATGCAGGGGAGTCACACCAGAATCCTTCTATCAGCAGCAGTGTTAAAAACCTGATTGTCACTAAACTGTGAAGACTTGCAAAGTAAATCTGCTTATTCTGCCTGTAATCATAAAGATACTGATTTTGCTACCACGGAGTATATTCTGTATATTTGTCCTGATTCTGCTCTGTGAGATTGTATCAGTAACTCAAAGTGACAGTTCATAGATCTATAAAAAGTAGACGTGATTAATCTGGCTTTTTTTTTTTCATTCAGCAGATATTCAGTTGTTTTGAACAGAGATATATGAACCCACCTGGGTGGATATACGACGCGGGGGGTGACGCTGTGTCAAGCTGGGCAGAGTCTGTTATAGAAAGACGTGAACAGTTGCAAGTTTTCATTCAAAATAATAGACTGTTAGCCCGGCTGTATTAGCGCAATAACAGCAGCTGCTCGCAGGGTTAAGCTGCTTTTCTAGCATGGCGCGGATGGAATACACTGAGCGTTAATGTTGTTTACATGGCCGGCACCACGTAGGCTTTAAATGTGAAAAGCCAAACAGGAATCTGCATTTTAAGGACGTGACTTTGACCGAAAGCATCAGCTGTGCGCCTCACTTGACTGGAAGAAGCAGTGGAGCGCAGCAGCGCGCAGAGCATGTAGCCGAAACTACACCAGACTGTGGAGTTGAAGTTTTCTTTTGTTTTCTTTTGTTTTTTTTCTTTATCCGGAGTGTTTTATTCCATCTGTGGGGAAAAAAAAATAAACATTTAAAGCTGCTCTTCGACATTATTATTTGCTTGGAGCTAAATGACAAGGAGGTAGCGACACAGAAGCACTCAGTGATTTAAACAGGGGAAACCATGGAGAGCAAGGGATTACTTCGCTGTAAGATTGTGGTTGTCGGGGACAGCAAGTGTGGCAAGACGGCTCTCCTTCACGTTTTTGCTAAAGACTCGTACCCAGAGGTAAGTCAGCATTTATTAGAAATAGAAATACGCACAGCAGCCCTGAATGGTACGACGGCACAGGTGCGTAAAGTCCCTGAAACCACGCGGCAGTGTTTTCACGTAGAGTGAGATCGCTTCAAGAATACTTGACACTGCGGATCATTGTGGGAACTGATTGATACCTAGTTAAATGTGTGGCCTGCAAACATTTATTATAATGTATTTGTGCCGCTCTCTTTGAAAAATATCACGGACGTTAAAACTCGAAACTGTAAATGGATGTTCTTTTTTTTCCTTTTTTTAAAGAAACATGTTCTCGTTGTGTATTATTTCATCATGTCAGGATTTTACCGGGGTTTGTGTTAAGCCTCATCTAAAGGGATGCAACAGCATCATGTAAATTAATAACATAATTAGAATTCAGTGGCCAGTTATCACTGAATTTTTGGCCTACGTGCGCTTTTGCGCACCGTGTCCGTCTGTTGATGTGGGACTTTGCAGGTTTGACCAGAACAACAGAATAACCGCCTGGGAGCTAGATTGTGTGTTGTGAGATATTAAACCCGGGAGTGTGTAATGTTTTATAGTGGTGACCGAAAACCGAATAGAGGCAAAAAGTTAGCACAAGTAATAGTTTGTCTCTCAGACGTAGTACTCTGTCTTCTATACTTGATTACATGATTTTAATTACACCAATAAGACATCTGAAGTAAGTAAATATATATATATATTTAAAAAAAAGCTTTTTAAGAACTCAGTTTATGACAAAAAACTTACAGATTGTGGATGGATAAACCCCAAAGCATATATTTTCAGCAAAACTAGAAAGGAATGCAGACTAAACACACTAACAACAACAGGAAATGTGTTTAGTGAAGAAGGAAGAACTTGTGCTCCAAAGGAGGAGAATTTTTATGTGATGCAGGAAATGCATTCTGTCAGACTCTTGAACTGTCGGGATTAATCAAACCAAAGCTTTTTGAACTAAAGTTCAGAACTTGCAAATAGGTCAAAGCAAAGTATTGGACTCATCTACTTTCCACACACACACACACACACACACACACACACACACACACACACACACACACACACACACACACACACACACACACACACACCATCTCTCGCCTCTTGACATTCACAACTGCACTTACCATCCCCACAGCAGCTATTTGAATTAATTAGGAATCTGACTGTTTTGTGTCATGAAAATCACACCGTCTTTCTTTTTTACAGTGGGCATATCATCTCCTCCAAGCTTTGATCTAATTTTAGCCACCACACGCCTCTCGTTTCAGAATTACGTTCCCACGGTGTTTGAGAATTACACGGCTAGCTTCGAGATTGAGAAGCAGAGGATCGAGCTCAACATGTGGGACACATCAGGTGAGATTCCCAATCATCTCTTTATGTTCTCCTTTCAACTCAAGATTATCACACCAAAGTGATGAAAGGTGTGCCGCATCATCAAGCCGTGATGAGGTTACTGAGCGAGGAGCTCCAGATCGGCAGACAGCTGACTCCTTGGAGTGTTCCGCAACTTCCAGGCTGTGGGCCAAAAACATGAGCAACCACAATGTGTCAGGATAATCTGTTGAGAGTACTGACTGTTTTGTTTTTTTAAAATTTCAAAATGAATTAATCTAGTCTGGGACGCAGAAACATAACTTGTGTGTGTTTATATAACTTCAGTCCAACTTCAGAGCTAATCTGACACTTTCAGCAGCAGCTGAAGTGTTATGTGAGGCCTCTGAACAGCTTGTTATTCAACACATACCTACTCCGAGTAACAACCACAGCTAATCAACACATGAAAATGTAAATTAATTGCCTGCATACGTGATTTTGATGAGGATTTTGGCATCTTGACTGAATTCATGCAACATGGCACCAGTTTATTTGAGATAACAAGTGTTCTCTGTCCACTTGTAGCGCTGAGAGCTTGCGAAGCTGTTGCACAAACTCTTAAATGTGTTCACTGAACATTTTTTGATTTACAAAGTCATTATATCTTTTCAAGACTTCACTTTGGAGAGATGATCAGACGGAGGGCCTCTATGGGTCTCCAGATGTGCATTAACTCTCTCCCTTTTTAGCCTTTAGACCCCTTCATGTTTCATTTCTACTTACAAAACTCCCCAAAACTTGTTCTCACGCAGCGTGAGAGCAGCTTTACTGCAAAGTGCTCCATTAACCTCCACCCGTGCAGACAGGGAGACCAGCTAGGCAAGCTGGAGATTAAGAGCTGCTGCAGCTGCTTTGCGGTGGGTGAGGCCGCTCTGCGGTGTTTAAACAACACCCTGCGAAATTACCGGCTGGCTCACGCACACACCTTTCCCTCACTAAAACACTTAAACAGTAATTTACTCCGCCTCGGAAAGAAATGCAATTCACCTTTTTGTGCGAAGCAGGTGCCGTTCAGAATTGTTATTGTGTCACATTATTGGAATCTGAGCGGACATGACGCTCCCAGTTGTGAATGAGTTTATGAGGTGTGAGGTAAAAGAAGGGCCAGCTTCTGTCAAAAAAAACTCCATAAACATGTATAAGACAATAAAATCTGCTTATTTGTGCTACTGTGAAAGAAAAAGAGGAATTAGATTTTAATGTGGATTACTTTAGGAGGGTTTACAGAAGGATTTACTCAAGTCAGAGGGATTTTTCTTTATATACGGGCACCCCAAAATGTTGCACGTCTAACTGAAATGGATTTAAAAAGCAATACTATCTGATTTTATTAGAATTTTTTAAACAAAGCTTTATTATAACTAATAAATGGTACTAAAAGCTATAAAAAGGAGCCAATTCTGCAAGCACCAGTAGTTACAGGAATAGTTTTATGTGCTCATTAGATGCCTTGATAAGAATCAGACGAGAGAACTTTTATTATACAAAGAAATGGCCCCATATTGAGCAGCAGTGGTTAACGGGAGCTGATCCAACTCTGACCTTAGGTGGCTTCTTCCAGCTCTCTTTAAGTGAGGAGGAGACATGTGTGTTGCCTTGCAGCATCCCTGCCAGCTATTCTGGGTTTGTGTCAGGAGACCGGTGCATCGGCAACTACATCAGTAACACCACAATTCCCTCTGGTACCTGCTGTGTTTTACTAATAGCTGAACGGGGGGTTACAGTCACCTGGTGTGCTTACATGGAACTTTCTGTATATACACTGATGCAATACCCTTGACTTTTAAACTTGCTCCTGCTTACTTTATGCAATCACAGATTTATGTGATTTGATAAAGAACATGCTTTAGCTGATATGTGTGTTTGTGACATGTGGCATGGCAGTGTGTGCAGTTTGTTTAACCGCAGGTGAACTGACTCAATGAAATTGAAGTTGTGGATGAAACACTAAATATATATAAAAAAAAAACAATCCCAAGCTTCAGAGCGCCAGAGGTTTCAAATATATAAGAGCAAAAACTCATCACACATTTTAAGCTATGAAGCTTGAACTCCAGTGTGGATAACAGGGGAGGAGATAAGAAGAGAAGGATCATGTTGAGTTGTTGTAGAGGCTCACAGATAGGAGAGTGTATTAGGCAAGGTGCCAGAAGCGGTCTCTGAGCTGCCCGCTTATTGTGCAGAAACAAACAGTGGATTTAATTAATCAGGCGCTTGCTGTGTGACCGAACACTTGCCCCCTGTCTCTTTCATTCTTCATCTTGCCACACAACCCACCTCCTGCTTCCCTCTGCTACATCCAAACATGCTTGTAGTTTAAACTCCCTTCCTTGTAGGTTAAACTCTTTTTTTTCCTGCCAATTTAAACTTTACCCTGAATTTATTGCCCACTGGCTCCTTACACTTCCTCAGTCTTTCAGTCATTGTCATGTTGCTCTGTTTCTGTCTTCAGTCATGTGGCGCTGCAGGTGAGACCAAGTTGAGTTCAAGCTCAGATAAATGGCAATGGCATTCCTGTAAAAAAAGAGACTCTTTCTAAATGGTTCTGCACCATTTCTATCAAAACAAGAGTGTCGTGCCAAAGGCTGGAGTTGGTATGCCATCACAAAACTAAATCAATGAAAAAGAAGTGCATTGAGTGTATTGTAGTTAGAATACACTATACCTTCTATGTCTCCTCATCATGACACAGAGACTCATTCACTGTCCTATAGTCCTGTTGGCTGGACTTTTGCAACTCATTATCATAAAGATGTTGAAAAAGAATCTCCAGTTAATCCAAAACAGTGCAATGAGACTTCCATTGGCCATGCATTAAATAAATAACACTGACTATTTTCGTCTGGGCCTCCAAACTCCGCAGATTGAGCCCCATCATATCTTAATGATGGCATAGTATTATATTATCCCAACAGAGCACTTTGCTGGCTGACTGCAGACTTACTTGTGGTTTCTGGAATTTCTAAAAGCAGATTTCAGCTCCTGTGGAACCACCTCAAGATACAGACACCCTATCTACGTTTAAGATCAGAATAAAACATACTCTTTGATAAGGCTTATAGCTGGGGCTTGATCAGGTGACCAGGATCCATCTATTAGTTATGCTGCTATAGGCTCAGACTGCTGCGGGACTTCATGCAATACACTCAGCACTTCCTCTCCACTCACCTCTTGTTACTCCCCATATATCTCATTAAATTCTTGTCTTCTTTCTTCCTTAGTCTGTGTTTTATCCTGTCTCCCTTTGTTCTTTCAAACTCCTCACCCCCCACCACCTCCTAAAACCAGTTGAGGCTGATGGCTGCCTCTCCCTGACTCTCATTCTGCCGGAGGACTCTTCCTGTTAAGATGGAGTTTTTCCTTCCCACCATTCCAAAGTGATTGCTCATATGGGTGATCAATTTATTGTTTGTGCTTTATGCCTAATACTGTAGGATCTTTACCTTACAGTAATGGCTTGGATTGACTGTTTTTGTGAATGTGATTTATAAATAGACCTGTTTTGAACTGGTTTGGATACTTTAGTATTTACCTAACCAATCAACAGTGACTCCCAGAGCAATGCTGTCTGGTTTATGCAACATGGGATGAATGCAAATAAGCTGTCCAGCTCTATCAAAGTTAATCACTGGTTTTAGTACAAGATGATGAAAGACTGGATCTGATTTTGAATCACTGATGTGGTTGATTCATTCAGAGGTCTTGAATGAAGATATTTTCCCCCCCCCAAAATCTCTAACGTTCAATGGTTTAATCAGTATTTGCATATACAGAGATCAGCCTTGAGGTTAAATAAATAGCACCGACTATGTTTGTCACAATGCAATTCAAGACTGGGCCCCCAAACTCGGCATATTGATCCTCTACATAAAAAACTTAATTCACAGAGGCCCTCACACATTACATATATTACCTAAAGGATTTGCTGCCCCTTTGCCAGACACCATACGTTTACCCCCAAAGGTTTTGTGCCCATACCATGATGGTTCGGAGATGTTTTTGTTAGCAGCAGGCGTGGCTACCCAATATGAGGTAGGCATTTTTAATGCTTTGGGTGAATGGTATGGGCTTTTATTCTAATTCATCTTCATAAAAAGCCTCTGCATTGTTTAATGGACAATGAATCCCATAGAGTCATCAGATCACAATAAAAATAAAAATAAAAAAAAAACCTAGAAAATAAAAGTAGTCTAAAATTGCAAGCATTATTGATTATGATGACACAGCAGTTGTGTAGCAAGAACTTGTTACTCTTCAAATAAAAAACAAATAAAAGTCCTTAAAAATCTGATCCCAGCTGACCTAATTTTGTCATAACAGTTTATATGTCTAGATTTGCCCTTCTCTGCAGTTTTCTCCTCCTCTCTTTAATTTCATCGATTCTTCCTAATATCCCCTCAGGCTGCCAGCCTCCCACCCGGCTCCTTCTCTGTCTCTGTCTCCCAACAAGTCAAGGTCAGGAGTCCCACTGTATTGGGGCAGTGCCCTCTCAGCACTCTTGCACTTGATTAGCTTACCTTGCGTTTTCTTTGTCTGTCTCTCTATCCATCTTTATCTCTTCCTCACTTTTCACTCACTCCTTTTCTCATTTCCCATACTTCTTTCTCCCAGATTCCGGCATATGGCTCACTGTAATCTGTCTTTATACGCAGCGACAAAAAAAAAAGAAAAAAGATTTGGTTCCATACTGAAGCAAAGCATCCTGGAAGCAGCAACAAATAACCCCTAGTCAGAATGCACAGTTAGGTCCTTAGATATGTGGACAATGGCATAATCTTTGTCACAATAAACCCAAACAGTGGATGGTCATTCTTGATGATTTTTTTTTATTTAGGGTCATTATCAAGGCTCAAAATTAAGACTAAGACGATTCTAAATATAAGGGTTGTTTTTTATACCTGGATGAAAATCCTTTGCAGTCAGTGACTGTATGAAGTCTCAAACCCTTCATTTTGCTCAATAGCCCTGTACACTACAGA